TAAAAAAGCATATTTAGCAAATATGTTGGGAAAAAGCCGCGATAAAAACACGAAAATCAAAAAACACAAGGGTATCTAACACAAAAAACGCGGATTGTGATTAAGCAGATTACAGGTAATAATAAATAAACAAATAATAATGGTAAAAATAATAAATGGTAAAAATAATAAATGGTAAAAATAATAAATGGTAAAAATAATAAATGTTAAAAATAATAAATGGTAAAAATAATAAATGGTAAAAATAAAAATGATATTAATATTTTGCCACACAAAATTGTCATAATGAAAGTGTTAAAATTAAATTTAATTAACAGTGTTTAACAATATTTTTCTTGATCTAGGTCCCAAAGTTGGCTGATAATATTTCCCAAAGTTGACTGATATTGCTCCAAAAACCATCGAAACCTTTAACAAATCAGCCAATGCAACTATGAAAAAAGTTAACTTAAACTTAAGCGAGGTCTTTTCAATAGTCTGAAAAAGTAATAAATGTGTTGGTATTGATAAAATAATAAATGTGTTGGTATTGATAAAGTAATAAATTTGTTGGTATTGATAAAGTAATAAATGTGTTGGTATTGATAAAGTAATAAACGAACGTGTTGGTATTGATAAAATTAGTATGTAGTTAAAGCAGTCTCCAACATCAGTGAAGTCTCGTTATTTCAAATTTTTAACCATTCCCAAAAGTTCGTCATTGGAAAAATAAATAGTAAATTATAAAAATAAGTGCAATTTTAGTGAATTATAGACCTAATTTAGTCTTACCATGTTTCTCGAAGTTATTAAAACGTATTATGCATGATAGACTTAGTAATCGTTTAACCGAGAACAACATACTATTTAATAAACGATTTTGATTCAAATGTAGTAAATTAACCAATAAAATTTATTATGTAGTAATCTAACTAATAAATTTTATACTTGGTGGGTTTAATAATGGCTGCTTTATATCAGGAGTTTTGTATTGATCTGTCAAATGCTTTTGATACTGCTAACCATAAAATACTTTTGAATAACTCTATGGAATATTAATCAATAAAGAATTCAATTTTAAGTATTTTTTTTTAAAAGTGATCAAAATCAATAAACTAGAAAAAAGTCATTATTACTTATTTTTGTTTGAATAATAATTTACATTTCCCAAGTCCTAGAAGGCCACTACAGTCGAGGAGGCTACTTTTATGGTTACAACCCTCTCTCAACTCTTTAACTCCGAAACACGAACCACGACGAACAAGAAAAAATTCTGAAGGTATTTTTGTTACTTTGCGTTGAATTCTTTCCAGCCTCTCTATATCTCCCGTAAGATTTGGATACCATTTTACATGTGCATATTTTAATTGAGGCCGTGTATATGACTTATACAAACATTAATATATACATTTTATACATTTTTATCATTAATTTATTTATTATGCTAAATGTTCTTTTTATCAGACCAATTATGGTATTTGCCTTATTAAATGTGTTTGACATAAAATCTTGAATTATTTGAGATAATCTTACTTAAATTGATAATAATAATATTAAAGATTATGAGTAAATGTCCGCGCACGGAACCTTGTCGATCACCACTCAAGACCATCACCCAAATAGATAAAAAATCAGCCATAAGTTTGCGTGAATATAAAAATTTGCAATTTCTTTCAATGATTTGCTTTTTATACCATTAGCTGATAGTTTTAACAATAATCTTCGATATGTTACTGGTTCGAAGGTCTTTGCGAAGTCTAAGAAAAGCAATATGCACGGATAAATTTTTTTTCTTTTTTTTTTTTTTTTTTTTTTTTGCAATCTTAAACATAATTGTGTTCATTTTCTTTTTAGTTGTCTTTGTCATCACTTGATTATTTTGCTTACTGTTGAAACATGGTTTTAATTTTGTAAATTTTATATGATGTGAAATTTACAATATTAATCATTTATCAACAGTTAGAGAGAAGCTGGAAATTAAGAAATGCGGAAAATTAACTTTTAGTTAAGGTAAAAATAATTTTGTTTATTGGTAGCGTAATAAAACCAGTTACTGTTATTATTGCATGACTTTTTTACTTTTTCTAACATGGTGTTTTTAAAACACTTCCTGTCTCTCTCTTAGATAAGACTTAAATAAGAATTAGTATTGAGAATTGTAGAGAGAGAATTGATTAAACTCTGTAATTACTGAGCTCTGATTAAACTCTGTAATTACTAAGCTCTTGTGTATTTTTTAATACTGCAATTGATAATTTGCTATTTAAAGATATAATTCTTTAAATTGTCCCTTGGTTGTTCAAATATTGTAATAAATAAAATCTTTTAAGTTTCAAGTATTTTCTCTTAGGGATCGTCTATTTATTACGTAACGCAAAATTAAACATAGACAAAAAAAATATCTCAAAAACCGTGTTTCTCTCATGGTCAACTATATGCTGCATTTTCAAGAACTATAGCATTTAATAGTTTGTTTTTCAAAATTGATAAACATCTTGTTCAAGGTATAGTAGTTAAAAAAATATCATAAATATTGTTATATTTTTTAAAGTTCTTAATTTAAAGTCTTTAGATTTTTATTTCGAAAATTTACTGTTAAAGGTTGTGAGCACATTTTGTATGTATAACTTTATTTATCATTATTTATTTTTTTTTCATAGGTTTTGGTAAGTATATCTATCATTCAATAGTTGTAAAATGTGTTTATACGTGTTACATAAAGTCATATTTGTTTTTAGTTATATATATGTTTAAATTATAAAAGCCAAAACAACAATTTATATCTTAGTTTGATTTTTTTTTAGTATTGTTAATGCATTGGTACTTCGAAAGAGGTTTTATAGTTACATTTTTGATAAATCTTTAAGTGCTATTTCAAAATAGGTTACTATAAATAGGTAAATCGATTTTTGCTAATTGTGTGGTGGTTTCTGTTGGGTTTTTTTCTTCGTGATTATGATATCATAATTTCATTACTTTTTTATTTTAGAATTACGTTATGACGCTTTTATAAGATTTGTAAAATAAAAAAACCTGATTTCTTTTTATTTTAAATTTTTTTTAGTTAAAAAGATATAAATATATGCTATTAGTTAATTTTATATTTTATCTATTTTATGCCTAATAGTTTATTATACGTATTTTAAGGGGATCTTTGTAAATGGGGGGTCGTAACTAAGAACCTTTAAAAATATGAAGAATATTGTAGTTTTGCGCATTAATATCGAGTTACTTAAGTTTTATTTGTTTAAGTTTTATTTATTTAACTAATTAGTTAGCTTAGTCTGTATTTGCAACACTTTTGAGGAAACAAAGAAAACATTCTTATATCAGTAGATCATTGTTTTACATTTTATTATTTTATTTTATTCACGTGGCCACCATTAAAGCAAAAAGAGGGAAGGAACCTCTTTATTAGAGTCAAAATATTTAGAAAAATTAAATTTCGAGTTACAAAAGGAATTTTTAGTAATAGGTGGCAAATTACCGTTTACTAACATAGAAATGGTCTGTGTTGAACAGACTTAACATGACCCGGGTCGGGTCAGCTTGGTTTACAAATTTTTGTCTACTTATCTCTTATAATTTTTATTTTAGTTTATCATATGATGCATTAATGTATTAAAAATTTTGTTATACCCATGTTTGATCGCAAATTAAATTTTTTTGTTTGAAAGGTATTTGTACTCAGTTGCGTAGTTATAATAAACTTTGTTATTTTTTATAAATTTATTTAAATGTGTGCATTTAAGATTTTTAAGTTAATAATTTTTTTTCTAAAGAACAATTAATCAAGGGGATACCAAAAAATTGATAACTCCTGTATAATATAAGTTAACTTCATTTTAATCTTAATAGTTCGTGTAATAAAAATAATTACAAGGATTTAGTTGACACTTTCGTCAATTTAAAGCATGACCAAGTGTTATTATTTTGTGTCTGTAACTAAAAACGTATTGTGTTAAACTTAGGAAGGTCGATGAAAATGGTTTTGCCTTACACTGTTATGACCTATGCCATTTGTAAATTACTTAAATAATGTTAATTAGTAATTGTAAATATTAAGTAGTAGTTGGTAAATTATTTTACCTCCTCATAATTTTTATGTTAATTTTACAGATGGATTAATTTTTTCAAGCTGAAGGCGATTTTCTAAAAGGGTATTAGTTAAGGTTTTGCAAGATTAAATTGTGGAAAACAGCCACTAAAAATTAATTATGTAACAGACCGACCAAAACCCGTATTACGGGTTGCCTTTTGCTAGTTATTATTATTGTTATAAATTATTATTGCTTATTATTTTATAATTACTGTTATTATTATTTACCTTAATATTGTAAAAATGATTTTAAAATGGAAAATAAATAGCTTGTTGTTGTTATTGTTTTTGTTGTTGTTGTTAATGGTTGTTCTAAAATATTTATTTTAGTCGTCAAACCATCTATTATTTGCTTGAGAGCTACTGTATTCATTTTAATTCTTTTATTATAGTTTTTATTTGTTATCGTTTCTTTTATTACAAAGGGAAAACTAAAAATTTTTTACTTTTTTTTAATTATATCTTGTATTTTATATCTTTATATCTGTTATAGGTTATTATTATTGTTGTTTATTATACATATATTTTTAATTATATTCAATTGTTAAAGCCTTTTTTTTAATATATTTTAGGAAAATAAAAATTAAATATTTTGTATGAAATAAAAACCAGAAAATTTTGGAGATTTGTTTTTTCCTTACATGAACAAAAACCTGAGTACCAACCGTTTTAATACCATGTTTTTTATATCTTGTTTGAATGTATAATAAAATAAAATTTATTCAGACATTAAATTATGCAAATGAAATCATTACCGCTCCAGTGATTAAGACTCCACCTCCAGTGATTAACATCCCACAACATTTATTAAATTTAACCAATTTAGGAATGATGCTAAAAAGCTTACTTATATAATAAGTCTTATTTAGTTACAAAGAAGTCTTGCTTTATTTATGTTTTTTTTTGAAAGAAAACAATGTTATTTATTAAATGTTTTACTCTACGAATAAAGAATTAATAATAAGTATCATATTAAAATTTCCAATAAAAAAACAAATGTAACAATGTCTGAATAATAACTAAGATGAAATTAGGTTTTTCCACATTTCTACCACGCATTTTCGAAAACTACGATTCATAATAGAATAAATAAAAGGATTTAGAATGCAATTTAAACAAGCGCACATTATTCCAAAAGTTGTCACTTGAAAACCGTTAATTTTTTTGTGATAAACGTGGTACAATGCTCCAACAAAAAATGGTGTCCAACAAAAAAAGAAGCTTAACACTAAAATCATAAGCATTTTTGTAACTCGAACTTGCTTCAAATGTATTGCAATAGCGACCATTTGACGCTTTTCTTTCTTTTTTTCTGCTTCAAGAAAGTTATTTTGAATTAAAGGGGATTTACTGTCTACCGTAGTCGTTTCTTTAGTCTTATATTTAGAAAAGTAAACTGTAACGTTTTTGTCGTTTAGTGTTTCGTTTCGTGCTTGTTGTGGAACTGATGAATCAGGTGCTTGCTCAAACATCGATACATTTTCCGATTGCTCAGAATATTCAATAGAGTTTATATTACTTTTCAACTTGGTTTTTTCATGTTTGTGTAACATAATAAATATGCATAAATATAAAGTAGTTAAAAACACCATAGGCAATACATAAGCGATAACACCGAGAAAATAAGAGTATTCTTTTGATTTTTTACCATCAACAGTGCAAAAGTTAGAGCCTGATTTAAATCTACTCCAGCCAATCAAAGGTGGAAATGAAATTAAAGCGGAAAATACCCAAACGCTAATGATAATTATATTTGTTCTTTTCTTAGTATAAAGTATTTTAATATCATTTGCTTTAGCAACGTTTAAAAATCTATTGATGCTGATCATAACAAGAGTCCATATCGATGTTGTACAAAATAGTGAATTCAAGAAACCTACTAAATCACAAACAAAACTTCCTAGTAACCACTTTTTTGCAATGGTAGTAATTATAATAGTTGGGATTCCGCACGCAGCAAAAAGGAGATCTGTTATCGCCAAATTTAAGACAAAGTAGTTTGTTACAGTTTGCAGTTTTTTATATTTATGTATAGCAATAATGACAACCAAATTACCAATTATGCCAAACAAAATACATAAAATAAGGTACACAGACTTAATGGCGACTATTTCTTTAGAAGTTTCTATAGTTTTATTATCAACAAAAGCCATTTTAAAAGCCTTTTTTTCAAGTGTTGATATTCTAATGGTTCATGTTTTCGTAAAGAAGTCCAATGCAATTCGCGTGTAAAAAAATATATATAATGCTTTAAAAAGTAACATATATATGCACTATAATGTGTTTTAAAGTAAAACTTCAATTAAGATTTCTTTATCAAATAATCCACTTATAAAACATCATTGTTTTTAATGTCTCCAGAAAATTTGCTTAAACCAATTAAGTGTTAAAAATCTACATACATTAAATTAATACAGAAGTAAAATTGTTTTATAAATTAGGACGGAAATTATTATGAAAATTAATAAAATTTTTAATTTGTGGAATAAAGTTAAAAAAAATGAACTTATAACATAAATTTAAAAAAATGAATTTATTACATTAAATTAAAAAAAAAAAGCGTTTGTTATTAAAAAAAAAGATGTTTTAATACTTACTTAATACTTTAATTTTTTTTAATTTTTGTTTGTTTGCAAAAACCATTTAAACGGTATGAAAAAATAATTTGATAAAATAATATATAGCAAAATTTGACACCAGGTTTTTGGCAGAATAATAGGTCTTTTGTGAAAATGTAGACGTTAATATAATTACTTGCACAAATACAAAAACTGTTTGCATAAGTCACATGATACAAACAACGTTAACCCTTATTCTAAAGCCTAATTTAAACTTATCGCATGCAAGGTTTAATGACATTTTTTTAAAAAAAGAAATTGACTTTCAACAAGCCTTTAACAATGCTATTTAAGAGACCGAAAAGACAGAAGATTTATAAAAAAACTGTATATATGTAGTTCAGAAATATCTGAAGAGAATTTCAAAGCTTTCATATATGAAGAAAAAAACTTAAATAAACAAAAGTTTTTTGAGTATATAAATATATTATTATATAATATAAATATTATTGCATAAATTTATGATGCTGTTATATTTTTTTTATATCATATATTACCACAGCAAATTTCATTTAATTTTTATATCTCATTACATACAAGTTTGTGTTGCAATTTACAGTATAAATGCTCTTTTTTGTTTACATTATTTTTATTTGTTTGCGTGTTTAAATTTGTCTAGTGAACCATACTTTCGTCATGAATGTCAAAAATGACTGGCTGTGCAAATATTTATTTATACCAAATTTTTAAAATATAGCTACAAACACAGAAAATAGTGATTTGTATGTTTTAAGTTTTGTTTTACAGGTTTTAAGAAAGACTCATAAAATTGAATTTCTTTAAGTAAGTGTGGTTTTTTTTAAATTAACTAAAATTTTCGAAATTCTTTATTTTTTTTTAATTTTATTTACAAAATGAAAAAAAAAAAAAGTTTTTTTTTTTTATTGTGATGTGTAAATTTAAATTTTTAATTTGCTGGGCCGGGGAAGGGGAGGGTGAATTAGCAATTTTGAGACGATTTGTTGCAGGCACAACTTCCTTTAAGCAACAGGCCATGAAACGTAAAATTTAGAAATAAATGTAAAAGCCGATATTTTAAAAATCAATATGATGAATATTATTTGTTTTATAACAAAATAAGTTTTATTAAACATCTCCCGTAATAAAATGCTTCAGACAATATAAAAATTAATACAAATTTATAAAAACAATTTATAAATATTTTAAAATGTTTTAATAATAAACTTCATTTTGTTGTTTCAGGTTACAAACAATTAAATAAAAACAAGTTTTAAATCAGGTCAAAAATCAAAGATAAATAAAATACTGTCATGGTAACTACACCTTAAAACAAAAATTTATTTTAATGTTGTAAAGAATTAAAGAATACTTTTAAACTCATAAAACATAAACTTAAAGTTAATAACTAATCTTAACAAAAATAAAATAACAACAAAAGTGTCAGTTAATAACTGTCAACTGAACAAGACAACTTTAAAGTTTTAAGAGATGTTTTTTTTTGTTTTATTTTGGTGTAGAAAGTTCGCAGTGTTTTTAAATAAAACATATTAGGCAGTAAATTACCATAACGTCGTCCCATGCCTAAAAAGTTTTTAGAGTTTTTAGAACTCTTTGAGTAATAAGAGTAACATACATAAATTCGTTGCACCGGGTTGTCTAACAAACTTTAATAGAGTTTAAATGAGAAGAATAACAATTGAAAACTATTATTAAGAGAAATTTTAACCCACTTTTATCGACTTAATTTAGATATTGAACATACTTTTCAAAATAAAACATTGTTCTGATCAAAATTTCATTTTCGTTAATCAAATCATCATTTTGAGACAACATTTCTGACAACATAAACAAGAAACATCTTTGATTATACATGTCCTGCATCATCGTTACTTTGATTATACATCTGCTGCATCAGCAGGTGGTTCATTAATGTTATATGATAACAAATTAGAGTTTCAGAAATATTGAACTTTTCAATTACTTGTTGAATACTTAAAAAGTATCTGCTGCCAGATCCTTGTCTTAACTTGCTGAATTCTTTTACAAGTGGATCTGTATTCAATTTTCCCAACATATGATACTATTGTGTATCTCTTAAAAATTTTTATGACAACTCAATAATTTCATTACATGTATGGAATGTCCTCTATCATCTGTAATTTGTTTTATACGTTTTCACTGATTACTTGTCTTACCTAATGCTATTACTTTAAAATCCCATATAAACTTCAATCCCTCATCATTTCGATCTCTGATGACAACTTGTTATCATCATTAAACCTACAATTTGAACCCACACTTTTTAAATTTAAAATTTTCCACCACGTGACAACCAGTTTAATAAAATCAGCAGTCATGTTTAAGATGTTGAGGTTTCATGATGAGGTAGTGGAGCATATTTTTTCAGAAAATATTTTTAGACAGGTAGTTCAGTTTGACTTGGTCACAGAAACTTCAATTAAATCAGAATTTATTTATCATTAGATAAATAGATTCATCTTTACTTAAAGTTTTATTAAATGATTTCAACAAGGTGTTTTTTGAACAACATTTTCATAAAATATAAATTATTCTTTTTTTTTCTGTGAGCCAATTGCTTCGGATGTTTTTGACTAAGTTTACAAGGTTTTCAGAAAATGTGTCAAATTTTTAAAAAAACGACTCATTAGTTTAATTTCCGTTGGTTTTTCGGTTGTTCTTTTTCTCTTACTTTAACTTTTTTATTCAGTTTTCTAGCCAGTGTTGTTAATAGGCTACAGTGTTGCTTTTCACTTTTAAATTTGCGTTAGGAATACATTTTATCCAACAAGTTTTATTTTTTATAATCTATAAACTGATGTTTTGTATTCGCTTGACTTGTTTCTGTAGTAAGTGATTTTTAGAAAAGCTATAAACACAGCATTTTTCAGCTTTTTTCAAAAAACTAAGTAGAGAAGATTCATAATCTAATCAGACAAGCTATTTAATGCCTTCTGCGTTCATTTTATAAAAGTTAAAATTGGTTCCCACATTTTTTTCTAAATTTTGCATGTCCTGGCTTGTTACTTAAAGAGCGCCATGGTTGCAGGTTGATAGGGATATTTAATTTTTTGACGCAACATATTTTTTAAGTTTTAAATCTAGGAGAACTTTTAATTAAAAAAGTGCCTACCCTAAATCATTAATCCTCAGTTGATTTACACTCGACTGTGGCTTTTCAAATTTAACCTGTTTTTTATTGATTTTTTAAATTGACTCAAAGTTATTCGAATTAATTTTTTTTAATGAGGTAAATTTATATAAGCTTTATCAGGCAAAATATAACCAAAATGTCGTTAAAAAAATAATTAATAATAATATATTCATTAAATAAAAATGATAATATAATAATTATTTAATAACAACAATAATAGTTAAAGCATATACATTAGCATAAAGCAGTTACATTAGCATAAAATATGCTAATGTTACTGCACTGCGACACTTACTTACTGCTAAAGAAGTTATTTAAATTAAATGTTTATCAAAAATAAATATCTTCGGCGTTTCAGATCGTTTTTCATATGTTAATTTATACAACTTTAAATCAAATTACAGGAGTGCAAAAAAATATATATATGCACACTCCACTTTCTCATACATGTTTAAACCAGTTGATGTATGTAACTATACTGCGACGACAACAATATCTTTCAGTTTATTCAATAGAAATAATTTATTTACTATAATTATTAAATAAGTTTAATTATTTAATTTTTTTTTTATTATTTTTCTGTAAAACTTTTAAAAATAAATAAATATAGTTTTTAATACGGATTACGTTCAAAATATAAGATTTCGATCTTTCAAGAGAAGTTGAATCCGCATTAGGGTTAAGACTTTTAGACTTAAAAAAAATTCCTGTGTCATAAGTCGATGAACTTTTATTAGAAAACATTGAAAACATGATTAATTTCTCTCGGTTGTAAAAAAAGGTCACCCCGCAATTCAAACTACGTTTCGTCATTTATTTAATCTTGTTACTGGTACTACTTATACGTGTGGCTTTCCTGCAAATCATTTAAAACTTCTATAGATTACAAGTGTTTAGTCCTTTGAACATTTTGGAAAATAACAGAATATTTAAGAAGACTTAAGAAAATTCTAAAACAACTTAAAAACTCTGGAAAAATTTAGAACATTCTAGAATAGTTTAAAATATTTTGGAACATTCTAGAACAATTTAGAATTAAAACAATTTAGAATTAAAACATATTCAATATCATTTTAGACTATATATATCTGCTCATCTAATTTTATTGTTATTACAAAAGCAACACATGGCCTCGTACAAGCCTAGTGATAGTAGCATTCAGAAGAACAACAATGTCTGGATCAATAATCAGGTAAAATTTGAAGACTCTCATAAAAGAAGAAGAATGGCCCCTTTGAAAGAATATTTACTGGAAGATAATTGCAGAATGCCTCTCCAAAAGCAAATTTTTGGACGCTACCATTTCCTTGGACCAAAAATCAAAGAAAAGAGTATATAGCGGAAACTTCTAAAGAAGTCACTAAATTGTGGAAGAACAAACTGATTTTTCCTCATGTATTTAATCAATTTATACGAGCAAAGCTTGGTAAAATACTGAAATGTTATAATTAATGTGTCAAGTGGGGAGGCTACGAACCCCTAGATAAAATCTTTGATATGACTGAAGTCGGTGGAACATCGTTATCATCCGAGGACAAGCAATTGTACCATCTCCAAATATAAATCAAAGGAACAATGAGATACTTTACAGGCCAAGCGGCCAGTAAAGAAACGAT